TCCCCTCTCAGCCTTCTCTTCTCCAGGCTGAGCAAGCCCAGCTCCCTCAGCCTTTCCTCGTAGGGGAGATGCTCCAGTCCCCCCATCATCCTGTTGCCCTCCTCTGGACTCTTTCCAGGAGTTCCTCATCTTTCTTGAACTGGGGAGCCCAGAATTGGACACAGAGCTCCAGGTGGGGACCAGTGGAGGTAGATAAGAAACACCTTACTGCTTCAGGCAGGTGGTCCGTCTAGCTTAGCATTTGGTGGCAAAATGTCATCTCGGCCATTTCTGCAGCTCCCGCCCTTCGTACTGCCCCAGCACCCAGGGCTGTCACCTTAGCGAGGTTGGAGGGGACATCCCTGCCTGGTTCTTTCAGCACCTGTTTATGGACCCTTTGAACCCGCTGAAGCTGTCTGCTTGCACGGCTTCCCCTGGCTGCACGCTCGCTGCCTGCTGCGTGGAGATAGACTTCCCTTCCCTGTTTTAATTTCTTTTTCCTGGAAGTTTCTCTTGCCTCAAACCTTTGTCCATCATCGATTATTTAATTGCAACCTTTCTTGACGTCTCGATTTGGCTACTTCATTCAGTGAAAGCCCAGGGCAGAAATGTCTTGGATGAACTGTGCCCTTCCAGATTTGGGGGAGGTTCATGGCGTTCCTTGCACTAAGTTGTTCAGTGTTTTGCATAAGAACTTGAAAACATCTGTTCTTGTTCCGACCAAAAGCTCATCTGTGCAACGGTCCTGTCTCCTGCAAAGACTCTTCAGGATTTCCTTGGGAGGAATAGTAAAACAAAGCAAGCATACATGAGATTTTCCCAGTCGTTCCAGCACTGAGTATTTAGGAAGCTCGAGTTTGTTCTTCTCCAGGAGGTGACCCAGCCTTTCCTGGAGGCTTGGCCTGGCACGGCGATGTTACATGTTTGTGAAACGGTGCTCCTCCTCTTCCATTTTGACTCTGCTCCCTCAAGAACCACCGTGGTCCTTCCTCCTTCTCACGTTCCATAAGCACCAGATGAAGGCCCTGTTGTGGGGTTTATGCAGCCTGCGTCATACCCCACTGTGGTGATCCCTTTTCCAAGCTGGAGAATCCAAGTTTATTGAGTTCATCCTCTAAAGGAACCACCCTCTGCTTTTTCCGACTTCCCTTCTGTTCTCTAAACCGTGATGCTCTTTCTTGATGGACTTACCAGACCGTTGCTTGGTATCCAAAGTACAGCTGTGTTGTGGATTCATAGAGGGACATAACAGGCTTTGGGTCATCTCTGCTCTTTGCTTAGTCCTTGCTCATGTTGGGGTTTTCTTGGGGGCAGCAAGGGGCTGGTTCTGCTGCTTAACCATCAGCTCAGGCTGGCAGCTGATTACCAGCCGTAGCTCTAGGTTTTCTGTCTCCTCGCCATAGCTCTAGGTTTTCTCCTCGCCGTAGCTCTAGTTTTTCTCCTCGATGTAGCTCTAGGTTGTCTCCTCGCCATAGCTCTAGGTTTTCTGTCTCCTCGCCATAGCTCTAGGTTTTCTCCTCGCCGTAGCTCTAGTTTTTCTCCTCGATGTAGCTCTAGGTTGTCTCCTCGCCATAGCTCTAGGTTGTCTCCTTGCCATAGCTCTAGGTTTTCCCCTCTTTCTGGACTGCTTAGGAGGCAACTGAGAGCCTGCTTGTGTGTATTTATGGCGTAAGGCTTCCCCCCCGCCCCATGTTTGTTGTCTTTATGTATCTCTGGCACATATTGCCCAGCAAGTGAGCATTGCAAGAGCCACTCTTCACACAAAACATTGTATTTTATTATCCTGAATCAGGATCTCACCGCACGCCGCAACCTTGGCGCATGCCACGTCTTTTTCCAGGCCGTGTATGAGTGTGTTGGACAGTACAGATGGAGACAACGGGGAATCTGCTGGTAATACCCCTCCCTTACAAAGCTAACTATTAATTCCTGCTCTCGTAGTCTCTGTCCTAATCATTCCTTAATCTGCAAGGATATCCTCTCTCCCCTGTTATCTGAAGACAGTTTAGTTTCTCTAAGAGCCTTTGGGAGGTGGCTTTGGTGAAACCGGAGAGAGCAAATCCGTTGTATTTGCTGGATCTCCTGCATCGATGTGCTTAGCATGTTTCTGGAGGAATTTAGG